ATAACTATATATCAATACGGAAAAAATGTTTTATATTTGTTTTATAATATAGCAATGTCAAAAGCCCGAAGAATAAGAAAAATTTCCGTGTTACAAGCGGCGGAAAATTTCCTGTGTTGACATGGAGTTATATCAACACGGCTCTTAGCAATCAGCGTTCAGAATTTACAAATGCTATATTATAAATACATTTATTAGACCTGCTGTGGCCCTGCAATTCCGGTGCAGAGCTACAGAGGCCAGTTGTTGAACTCTTGATATCTATCCAGTATAAATATAGCAAGCTTACCACTCCAGCATAATGGACAACGCTGAAATCAGCAGTAGATCTAAAGTCAGGCTTCCGATATTTGGTACTCTGGGACAATTCTTTCTCCAATTTTGCAACAAAACTTTTATCTGTTGCCTTAGGGAACCAACATTCCTCATCAAGCAGGCCAAGCACGCCAACTTGCTGATATAGAAAAATTAAAATTTCATTTTAATATTTTAATACTACGTACACAATATTCGTACACATTATTCAATTTAAAATTCCATGACTTTTCCATGATCATTTTTCAAAATTCCACGACCTGGAATATTGGTAAATAAGAACCAAATATTCGGTCAAATCTTTACAGACTAAGATTCATAATTTGCTTACAAAAACCTGCAATTCATGTATTTTTTATGACTAATCAGTGGAAAATAAATAGATTTCGCTCATGTAAAATGTCAATTTCCCATGACTTTTCACGGAGAGTCACTAGATGCAAAACTACTTGGCCTCACTATTACCTCTGATTTAAAATGTTACAGTTATGTGACAGTCTAAAATTATCTCTAAATGCTCGAAACGACTATATCTTCCAGTTCAGTTAAAGCGAGCCAACGGCCCAAAATAAATACATAATCCAATTTATGTAACATGTATAAAACCAGTACTGGAATATGCATCCATTGTTTTCTATTATTCAACGACATAAAACGCAAGAGATTATTTCGCTGCATGGCCTCAGAGTGACAAAACGTAACAAAGCAACGGTTTTACTAACACTAACTCTAATCCAAACACCAACTCTAACCCTAACCCGTACCCTAAACTAACCCTACTCCAAATTTGTTTCTAAACCAATCGAAATGTCATTCTGTGGTCAGCGAAATAGTTGATGCCACATAAAACGTGTTCAAAAACGTATCGATTCTAGTGTATAACAGAATGAGATAAATCGCGCACTTACGTTTAAAGATTTACAAGTGGGGGGGGGGGGGGGG